CCCTAAAATGACCCAAACTGACCCAAAAATGACCAAAAATTACCCTAAAATGACCCAAAATGCCCCAAAATGACCAAAACTGACCCAAAATGCCAGAAAATGATGAAAATTACCTAAAATGACCCAAACTTACCCCAAACTGACCCAAAAATGACCGTAAAATGACCCAAAATGACCCAAAAATGACCCTAAAATGACCCAAACTGACCCAAAAATGACCAAAACTGACCCAAAATGCCCCAAAATGATGAAAATTACCTAAAATGACCCAAAATGCCCCAAAATGACCAAAAATTACCCAAAAATGACCCAAACTGACCCAAACGTACCCCAAAATGACCCTAAAATGACCCAAAAATGACCAAAAATTACCCTAAAATGCCCCAAAATGCCCCAAAATGATGAAAATTACCTAAAATGACCCAAACTTACCCCAAAATGACCAAAAATTACCCAAAATAACCAAAACTGACCCAAAAATGACCAAAAATTACCCTAAAATGACCCAAAATGCCCCAAAATGACCAAAACTGACCCAAAATGCCAGAAAATTATGAAAATTACTTAAAATGACCCAAACTGACCCAAAAATGACCGTAAAATGCCCCAAAATGACCCAAAAATGACCCAAAATGACCCTAAAATGACCAAAACTGACCCAAAATGCCACAAAATGATGAAAATTACCTAAAATGACCCAAACTTACCCCAAAATGACCAAAAATGACCAAAAATGACCCAAACTGACCCAAAAATGACCCAAAATGACCCAAAATGCCACAAAATGACCAAAACTGACCCAAAATGCCACAAAATGATGAAAATTACCTAAAATGACCCAAAATGCCCCAAAATGATGAAAATTACCTAAAATGACCCAAACTTACCCCAAAACTGACCCAAACTGACCCAAAAATGACCCTAAAATGACCCCAACTGACCCAAAAATGACCAAAAATTACCCTAAAATGACCCAAAACTGACCTTTAAAATCACCCAAAATGACCCAAAACTGACCCAAAACGCCCCGAAATGCCCGAAATGCCGAAACTGCCCAAAATGGCCCAAAACGCCCCAAACGGGGCTGTGCCCCCCGCTCAGGGGCCGGCCCCACGGGGGAGGGGCTGCCCATGGTCCGGGGGGGTCGCTCTGGCATGGGGGCACAGGGGGGGCACGGGACCCCCCCAAATCCTGCACCATGCGGGGATCGACCGAAATCGCCAGAAATCCACCCAAAAATGAGGGGAAAGGGGAAAATCGCCAGAAATCGCCAGAAATCCACCCAAAAATGAGGGGAAACAGCCCAAAATCACCAGAAATTCACCCAAAACTGAGGGGAAATGGGAAAAAATGGCCCGAAATCGCCAGAAATCCACCCAAAACGAGGGGAAAGGGGAGAAATCGCCAGAAATCCACCCAAAACGAGGGGAAACAGCCCAAAATCACCAGAAATNAAAATGGCCCGAAATCGCCAGAAATCCACCCAAAACGAGGGGAAAGGGGAAAATCGCCAGAAATCGCCAGAAATCCACCCAAAAATGAGGGGAAATGGGAAAAAATGACCCAAAATGGCCCGAAATCGCCAGAAATCCACCCAAAACTGAGGGGAAATGGGAAAATCGCCAGAAATCCACCCAAAAATGAGCTGAAATGGGGAAAAATGACCCAAAATGGCCCGAAATCGCCAGAAATCCACCCAAAACTGAGGGGAAATGGGAGAAATCACCAGAAATTCACCCAAAAATGAGGGGAAATGGGAAAAAATGACCCAAAATCGCCAGAAATCCACCCAAAACCGAGGGGAAACGGCCCGAAATCGCCAGAAATCCACCCAAAACGAGGGGAAATGGGAAAAATTGCCAGAAATCCACCCAAAAATGAGGGGAAATGGCCCGAAATTGCCCGAAATTCACCCAAAACTGAGGGGAAAGGGGAAAAATCGCCAGAAATCCACCCAAAAACGAGGGGAAATGGCCCGAAATCGCCAGAAATTCACCCAAAACTGAGGGGAAATGGGGAAAAATGACCCAAAATCACCAGAAATCCACCCAAAAACGAGGGGAAATGGGAGAAATAGCCAGAAATCCACCCAAAACGAGGGGAAAGGGGAAAAAATGACCCAAAATCGCCAGAAATCCACCCAAAACGAGGGGAAAGGGGAGAAATCGCCAGAAATTCACCCAAAACGAGGGGAAAGGGGAAAATCGCCAGAAATTCACCCAAAAATGAGGGGAAATGGGAAAATCGCCAGAAATTCACCCAAAAATGAGGGGAAATGGGAAAAAATGGCCTGAAATCGCCCGAAATTCACCCAAAACGAGGGGAAAGGGGAAAATCGCCAGAAATCCACCCAAAACTGAGGGGAAATGGGAAAAAATGACCCAAAATCGCCAGAAATTCACCCAAAACTGAGGGGAAATGGGGAAAATCGCCAGAAATTCACCCAAAAATGAGGGGAAAGGGGAGAAATTGCCAGAAATCAACCCAAAATGGAGCTGAAATGGGGAAAAATGACCCAAAATGGCCTAAAATTGCCAGAAATCCACCCAAAACTGAGAGGAAATGGGAAAAATCGCCAGAAATCCACCCAAAACGGAGCTGAAATGGGAAAAAATGACCCAAAATCGCCCGAAATCCACCCAAAAATGAAGGGAAATGGGAAAAAATGACCCAAAATCACCAGAAATTCACCCAAGAATGAGGGGAAATGGGAAAAATCGCCAGAAATTCACCCAAAATGAGGGGAAATGGGAAAATCACCAGAAATTCACCCAAAAATGAGGGGAAATGGGAAAAATCGCCAGAAATTCACCCAAAACGAGGGGAAAGGGGAAAATCGCCAGAAATCCACCCAAAACGAGGGGAAAGGGGAAAATCGCCAGAAATCCACCCAAAAATGAGGGGAAATGGGAAAAAATGGCCCGAAATCGCCCGAAATTCACCCAAAAATGAAGGGAAATGGGAAAAAATGACCCAAAATGGCCCGAAATTCACCCAAAAACGAGGGGAAAGGGGAAAATTGCCCAGAATCGCCAGAAATTCACCCAAAAATGAGGGGAAATGGGAAAATCGCCAGAAATTCACCCAAAAATGAGGGGAAATGGGAAAATCGCCAGAAATCCACCCAAAACTGAGGGGAAATGGGAAAAATGACCCAAAATCGCCAGAAATTCACCCAAAACTGAGGGGAAATGGGAAAAAAATGGCCTGAAAAATGGCCCTAAAAAATCAGAAAAAAAATCCCCCAAAAAATCAAAATAAATCCCCAAAAAATCAAAATAAATCCCCAAAAAT